GATGGTCTTAGGAGACCCCGGTGAAAGAGCCATTTGACCCCCCCAAAGGGGTCGACGACCCACAGGTTGAGAACTGCTGCTCTAGGGCCTTGATTTGAGGGCCACCTGATCCAATGAGGCGGGAGAGAGCGGTCTGGGGGTCCGGGAAGCCGAGGCCCGTGGTAGCCTCCGTCCCAGGGCTAGAATCTTCTTTCTGCCACCGGCCATCTGGATATATACAACCTCCTTCCTGGGCCTGACATTTAATGAGCTCGTGCCCTGGGCAGGAACGTGTGCCCCATAGTGAGGCGGGTGATGTCGGCTGGCACAGGTGATTGTGCGGGCTCTCTACAGCCTGTGGGCAGATGTGCCCAGCTCTGTGCTGCCCTCAACCACAAGCCTCCACGCCTCCCTCCTGCAAGACCCTGCTTGTCACAGTGGAAACTCCTGGCCAAAGTCCCAGTGCGAAGGGCCCCTCGGCCAAGCCTCGCACATGCCCATGCACGCGCGCGCGCGCACACACACACACACTCACGTGTGCATGCACGTGCGTACACACACGTGCATGTATGCACACGCAGACAGCCACATGCATGCACACACATGTGCAGCACACTCACACACACACAAGAGCACCCCCTCACCCCCACTACAGGTTGATAAGGCACAGGTGTCAACACAGCGTTGATGCCTTGAATGCTTGAGCCCCACCCCCCGCAGCCTTGAGTACTTCTGACTGCTTCCTGGGAGAAGGCCCCACCCCATGAAGTGTGTAAGATTGCTCCCAGCATGGGATGCAGTTCTAGAAGAAGCTCTGTAAAGGTGCCCCCCCCCCCCCGCAGCCGCAAAATCTTCTGGTCTATAAATGTTATTACACGCAGGTTTTGGAGAATGGGGGTGGGGGTGGGCAATGATGGGGCATTCCACAGAAGGGAGAGGACCTAGTTCATGATGCACACCTGGTGAGCATCTACACTTGGTGGGGGTGGGGCACAGGGGGTGGATGAATGGATGGTGAGTGGGTGACTGGGTAGATGGATAAAACAATGAATGGTGGATGAGTGGGTGGTTAGGCGGGCAGGTGGATGGATACATGGTAGATAGATGGATAGGTAAGTGGATGGCTAGATGGATGAGTGGATGGCTGGTTTGATGGATTAGTGGGTGTAGGGGGATGGATGGATGGGCATAGAGATGGGTGGGTGGATGATGGATGGATGGATGGATGCAATGATGGGTGGATAGATGGATGGATGGATGGGTGAGTGGATGCTTTAGTAGTGTCCTGTGGCTGCTGCATCAAATGATCACACATTGACTTGATGGCAGTGAGTTTTGAGGTGACTTAAAGTAACAGGCTTTGCTCTCTGACAATTCTGGAAGCCCCTGAGTTCAAAGTCCAGGTGTCAGCAGGGCCACTCAGGCTCCCTCGGAAGGCCCAAGGGGATCTTCCTTTGTATCCTCCAGCGTCTGAGCTTGTATCACTCCAAGCTCTGCCTCCGAGGTCCCATGGCCCCCTCCCCACCACTGTCTCCTCTGTGTGTCTCTCACAAGGACCTAGGGCCCTGGGTGCAGGGCCCACATGTGTGATTCAGGGTGACCTCATCCCAAGTTATCTCACTGACTAACCAGGGAAGAGACCCTTTGCCTCCACGGGGTCACAGAGCTGGGCTGTGGGGATCAGGATGTGGGTGTATTTTGGGGGGGGGTCACAGAGCTGGGCTTGGGGATCAGGATGTGGGTGTATTTGGGGGGGGGGGTCACAGAGCTGGGCTTGGGGATCAGGATGTGGGTGTATTTGGGGGGGTCACAGAGCTGGGCTGTGGTGATCGGGATGTGGATGTATGTGTGGGGCCTCCGTGGATCCCCGGAAGATGGTCAAGGTGCACTCTCCCACACAGTTAGGTCTGTGACGGCAGGGACCCCTTGTGAAGCTGGTGACTCAGCCCCTCTCTGGGTGACAGCCAGAGTTTTATGATGGCTGGTGGTGCCTCCCTCCTTGGGGCAGCATGGTGGCTGGGCAGGCACCACCTGGGTCTCCTGGGGTTGCCCCTTGAGCTGCTTTAAACAAAGGAGCCCATTTGGGGCTCTTTCTCCTGAGAGGGGTACATGCTGACGACAGGGCTCAGGCCAGTGCTGCTCAGCAACCCCCCACCCCCAGT